GCATTTCAAGGGAAAAAACACCAACAAGTACCAAACTGTCTCTCTTACTGGGAGTGGTTCAGGAAACATAGAGAAAAATATGCTACAGTGATGTCATCAGATCAAATCACTAAATGTTTTCCATGTAGTTTGTTTACTCCCACTATTGTGTATCAACCCTTACTGAAGTGAATTCACCTTTCTTGAAATAGAACTTCAGAAGAGAAATGGAACCAGTCTATCAGTGGTTAAAAGACTAAGGCAGTAATCATTTAACTTAGGAATTTCAGGTACCAAACACTATACATAGAATGAGACAAATGGGAACTACATGAATCTGGGCTTTGTAAGTTTTTACACAACTGCAGTATGTCAATTTCTTATTTTTTCTGATGTGTTTTACATTATTTCAGGACAGAATTACACATATGAAAATGTCTGATATGTTTGATATAGAATCACCACACAGGTTTATTATTATAGCCCAATGAAGTCAGGCAGAGTATCCATCAATTTTTATTTCATGTTTTAAAATCGTCCCCCATAAACTTGCCTAACACTCATTGCCCATTTCAGGTCCCACTTCTCTTACACGGTCCTGAACATCCTGCTGGCTGATCATCTTACCTTGTTAGCTCTCTGAACATTTGCTGCCAACTTCATAACCAGTGTCCATCACACAAAACCCCTGGCCACTTCAAACAGTCCAGTTTCATTGGTTCTAGTTCCAGGATTTTTAAATTTATTACAGACTACTAAGTTGAAAAATCAACATTTTAAACAGATATCCAAGGTGCATCTAAAGATTGGCTCAATTTTGAGAATCAAAGGTATTCATTTGTTTTTACTAAAAACTGACTTTTCTTATGAGTGGATCTTTGTCATCCTGGACAGTCCTTTTCTTAACTGGATTAAACTTTTAAAATTTGAAATTGTTTTTTCTCCCATCTGAATATTTGTACAGTGATTTTTTTCCCACTTAGATTCACACACTCATCTACTCAAATAAAATAATATTTCCATCTTGATCAATTTCAAGTTTTCTTAAATAATTAATCACAGTTTTAATATAGGCACCTCAATTTTGACAAAATTTTTCTGTATATATAAATATATTTCAGAGTGCAGATTTTATAAATTTTATGGAATCAGGCTTTAATGTATGAAAACGGTTTCTCAAGTCATAGGTGCTGGGGTATATTATCCATTAAGGGAAGGATTATCTGCTATGAGTTCTCTGTTATGGTAGGGACCTAGGTTTGAGTCCCTGCCTCAAAAGTTTAGAAGACTAGGGCCTGGCATGGTATCCTAGCAGCTAAAGTCTTTGCCTTGTACGTGTGGGGATCCCATATGGGAGCCGGTTCTAGTCCCTGGAGCCCTGCTTCCCATCCAGCATCCTGCTTGTGGCCTGGGAAAGAAGATGAGGATGGCCCAAAGCTTTGGGACCCTGCACCTGCGTGGGAGACCCGGAAGAGGCTCCTGGCTTCAGATTGGCTCAGCTCCAGCCATTGTGGACTCTTGGGGAGTGAATCAGAGGCTGGAAGATATTCCTCTGTCTCTCCTTCTCTCTGTATATCTGACATTCCATAAAAAAAAATCTTTTAAAAAAACAAAGAAAGAAAGAAAGCAGTTGCTTGGCTCTTAAAAAAAATTAGAAGACTAGGGAGAGGGATTGGGGCAATAGCTGAAATAACAGCTCCAATCGCAGGCATCCAATATGGACGCCGGTTCATGTCCTGTCTGCTCCACTTCCCATCCAGCTCATGGGGTGTGGCTTGAGAAGGCAGTGGAAGATGGCCCAAAATCTTGGGACCCTGCACCCATATGGAAGACCCAGAGGGGGCTCCTGGTTCCTGGCTTTGGATCATCTCAGCTTGAGTTGTTGCAGCCACCTGGGGAGTAAATCAGTGGATGGAGGATTTCTGTCTCTGATCTCTACAGTTCTGTCATTCCAATAAAAATAAATCTTTTTGTTTGTTTGTTTGTGTAAATAATAGGGAGATCAGGGGATAGGAACATAGATGTAATGTCGCATTCACCAGGGTTTCCGTGTTGAACTACCCCCTACAATGAATCTAACATTAAACACAGTTTTAATAGACATTATTAATATTTGATAAGGAAATATGATTCAAAAATTTGCTAATGTGCTGGCTTCAAATTTGCAAAATACCAGTTTGACTTATTTTTGAAGGCTCCACAAAGCCCAGCACAATGTCTCACTCCTGCTGTCCCTGCTGACCTCATCCAGAGTGTGAAGTTATCACTGGAAGGTGGCTGTCCCTTTGGGAAATAAAGTCTCAGCCATCTTGTATTTAGGTGTGATTGTGTGATTTGTTAATTCCAGTGGCATGTGAAGAGAAGATTAAAAACAAACGTACCCTCTCAAACTCCTTTTCCTTTTTCTTGGATCAGTGCAGACAAGTATTCTTTTTTAAAGGATTCTGGCTCCTGAATTCTGCGAGTCACTTGTGTCACTCTGTTTTCATACATGAAAATTAGACTATTAGACTTTTCAAGGTGTTAGGCCGTTGAATTTTGGCTATTTACTTATTATGTCAGATTTTATTGCCTTAACTAATAGCATGCTGTTCAACAAATCTGTTAAGGGAATACTGTGAGTATGAAATGTACGTTAGTAAATCAATCCTGAATACAATGCCTGCTGGTATTTATATATGGGTGCATATTAAACACATCAATCTTGTTTTATCAATATAGTTGTGACATATTGTAATAGCCAATCAGAATCTAGAGAGCCAGTAGAACGGAATAAGTTTTAAGCATTGCAGTGGCTTTTAAAATGTATTGTTCAACAATATATGGGGCCTTATTATAAACAAGGGAACAGCAAAAAAGTGCTATAGAGTAAAGTGGGACTGAGAAGGCTCCTGTGTGCTGTTGGGTGATTTCTTCCTTGGTGAGCCGAGGAAGGAATAAGAAAGTGCTCATCTGTATGTTTTCAGTTAAGTCTAGTTCAATCCACTGCATATTTTGTCTTTTAAAAACAATAGATGGGATTGCAAAATGAAGACAATAATTCCCGTACTGAACTGAAAGAACTAGAAGAGGCTGCTAATGCTTTTGTGCTTCAAAGAGTAATGTCTCCTAGTGAGTTATTTTGTGGATGGTATATTTGGAATTGCTTATGAATACTGATTGCAGTTTTTTGACTTTTTTCTTTTCTCTCTTTTTTTAAATTAAAAGAACTTAAGCATGATATTAAGAAAAAAAAGTGTTATCTTGCAGTAGAAATGTCAGCCATGTTTCAATTCACTTTTAGGCTTCCCCTGAAAGGAATGACTTTTACACATAACAATAGCCTTGTTTTTATAAGTGGCTGGTAATATCTGTGAATGTGTGAGGCATTCGTTTTCCAGGAGCTCTTTTCTCCCTGGTAACGCACCAGGAAATATCTGAGTGTTGTTATTTGAATTCTTTCTTGTTCCCTTACTCCCAGAAGAATTGAAATTCAACTTCACAGTCAAATGAGCAGCCATTTAAAGCTCAGGTGTGTATTTCTTAAGACCCTCTCAAAGGATATATAACTGTTTATGTCTTTTCTAAAGACAGCAAACTGAATTTTAATTGGATCTTGCTATCCCTAGAGATCGTTATACTTCTATTCCAGGGCCATCGATTACAAAGCTTCAGTATGAATTGGAACATGAAGCCTGTGTTTGGGTTTAGTATTTAAAGTTGAAGTTACAGCAGCTGACACTCAAGTCCTTTTGGCAACTCCCCAATCAAAATTCTATTTAATTTCAGTCCCTGCAAAAAAAAAAAATACTCATGCATGCATATGCCCTCACACATATGCATTTGGTAAATAACTCACATGTCAAAATTACATAAACCTTCAGATTATTTAAAAAAAAGAACCAGTGTGTTTTTCAGGAAATAAATTTTCAGTGGGACTAGTTCCTTACTTTTGTTCTTTGGCCTTATCAGATGAATAACAGATGAAGCAGTGGAAAGTTTATATATGTATACTGAAGAGTTATGGACTCAGAAATAGAACATGGACACCCTCTGTGACACATTGAATCTCTGCATCACAGGGCCCATAAAGGCACAGAACACAGGTGCATGCATGAGCCCTTCTGTTGTTACTGTCTCTCTCTCCTCTTAGAAACTAGGACGACAACATCTAACGGAAACCAAAGACAGGGACCTGAGTCACTGATGTGGCAGAACACAGTCATGTGTTCCTTGTTGCTTTTTAAAAGATTCATTTATTTACTTGGCAAGCTGAGTCACAGAAAAGGGGAATTGGATGGAGGAGAAGAAGAAGGAGACAGAGATCTTCTATCCCCTGGTTTGTGCCATAAATGACTGCAATGGCTGGGGCTGGACCAGGCCAAAACCAGGAGCCAAGAGCATCCTCTGGGTTTTCCAGGACCTGGGCCATTCTCTATTGCTTTCCCAGGGACATCAGCAGGGCTCTGGATTGGAAGTGGAGCAAATGGGACTCAAGCTAGCCCGTGTAGATTGCTAGTGGGTGGTTGTTTTACCCTCTCTGCCACAGCTACAGCCCCTCATGTAAATTTCTTGAGGTAAAACAATACTATCCAAAGCAATATTAAAAATACTATGGAAAAAAAATCCTAAAATATGCTGAATAGAAAAATTTGTGTTTTTAAAGTCTGTGTTGTAGGACTATATTCTAGCAAAGTGGACTTTTTCTGTTTAATATAGCCTGGTCTTTTTGTTTGTTTCTTTCTGTTTCTTAATGTTTGGAAAATATTGTTGGTATCTTTAGTCCATATTTAGATATTTGAGAAATCTGTGGTTTTTTTTTTTTCTGTAAAGTTGTGAATAGGGACCTGGGCTGGGTAACAGTTATCATAAGACTATATGTCTGTTTATCTCACCATGGTGTGATAACATCAGTTGTAACACTAAGAGGGTAAAATAAGCAATTCCTTTATTTTTGTTAAAATTTTATTTTGAATTTTCGAATTTTGTGGTACAAGTACGTGTATACTGGGACTCCCCCCAAACTCCCACTCAGTGACAGATTTTCCATATAGTATAGTCAAGTAGGTAATTTCTGGGCTAGTTAGAATAATAACATTGTATAGTTCTAGATTTCAAGTTGCATTTTATTATATAAGATTGAAAGTTATTAGAAAATATCCCTACATTTCAGTATTTTTGTGTTGTGATGTAAAGGAATATTTGGATCACACATTCAATATACTCAGTACTGAAACCCTGGATAGACTTCAGTTTGTTCATTTCCTTTTATTTAGATATCCTTTACTAAACCCTCCTCCTCATTTTTAAAATCTCTGAATTTTATCAACTTTTTTTTAAGGTTTATTAATTTGAAAGTTGGGGTTTTAAAGAGGGAGAGAGAGAGGGGAAGCAGAGAATGAGAATGAGAGAGAGAGAGAGAGAGAGAGAGAGAGAGAGAGAGAGAGAGAGAGAGACTCACTCAACAGTCTTTGTTGGTTCTAAACTGTTTGTTACTAACTAGGCTCAAAACCTTGATGTTTTCTTCTATTGTTTCTCCCCAACACTAACTCAATCCAATGCTATTGGATGCTTGTGTGTGTGTGTGTGTGCGTGTGTGTGTGTGTGTGTGTGTGAGTGTGTGTGTGTGACAGTTGCAGCTTGTTTTTATACAACAGTGTTGTAAAATTTGGAAAGATATGATTTATTGGGTAGATTTTATAGAATTTTCTTGATGACTTGAAGAAATACATCTGTCATCTTCACTGGAAAAATCGACATGTCAGTTCACATATAATAGGCATTTAAAGTGTTTATGAAGCTCACCCATAATCTTAGAATCCTTTGAATAGACCAAATGACCCACCAGCCAGAATTCCACTCAGTAACAGCCATAGGAAAGTCTGCAACTGCTTGCATGCTCCTGGTAACTGAAAATGATAATTTTTGGAGCCTTCCCTTCCCTTGACCTAGAAGCCCTTTTCTTTATTGGGAAATTCATTTGGAATTAAAATCCCTTCACCTGTCACTCACCATTGACCCTAGGTCTTCAGTATCCAAAGGTAGTCCCAGCATCCATACCACCTCCTTTTTTTTTTTGTCTTTTGTACATTCTTTTTTTAAAATTAATTTTATTATTTTAATTTTAATAATCTTAGTTGATTAGGGTACAAAGGGTCAAGGGCTACAGGGTGAAAGTGGGTAATATTGTTTCCACGCTAATATAATCATTTTGCCCTGTATCTGGGGTTAGGGGAGTAACAAAGGGAAAAGCCCCACCCAGCCTCCCACCCATCCCTGATCCCCTACCTGAGGCACACTCCAAGGGTCCTGCTCGAACAGTTTTGATAGTTCATCAGTTCTGGATTGCTGCCAATCTCACCGTCCCAACTGTAATGAAACCTATTCAGAGTCCACTGGCTGACAATCTCTTGATGGTTGGGGTTCCAAGATCAGCAGTTCAGTTGGAGGGCTATCCAAAGAAACTTCATCTGAGATGATCTCAGATCTGATTCTTGCGTGAGTTTGCTAGTACATATGCCAACACCGTTCATCACACCAATCAGCTTATGCACATGCTGGTTGTTGCGATTGCTGAGTCCGTTCGTTTTCCAGCCCTGTCTTCCTCGTGAACCAACGGGTGTTGTAGTCCAGCTCGATCCTACCTACTTCATACTCGGCAAACCAGTTGGAGCTGCAGCCTAGTTGGGGCGACTCCCCAAAACACCTACCAATTCTGCCCCCTACCCTGGTTCCCATGCTTGCCAGTATGTACTGCAGGCTTGTCCAGTCTGTCCCACATCCCATTTAGCTCTCACACACGTCAATGGACATTGAAGCCTAGTTCAACCCAACCAACCTATTATCTAGCCCATACACCTGCTAGAAGGTGCCTCTCTGTCTAGCCACCCCTGCCCCTATCCTGGTTTTCGTGTTGTCCAGTGAGGGTGGTAACTCTGAGGGAGGTACCCACTATTTCCCAACTAGGCCACACCCACTCCCAGATTATGCAGTCTCCAATCATACCACCTTTTCTACTAGAGCTTTTGCAAAAGTGTGTGGAGAACAGAATCTTAAAAGTTTATGTTGGTGTAAGAATTTTTTGAAATATATGAAATGTGGATTTCAACATATACAATTTTCAATGAATTGTTGGAAGACCCTCTTATATGCATGGATTTCAAAAATTTTTGACATCAGAAAAACATTTTCATTAGCTTTTGAAATGCCCTCTTGTTCACATTCAGTATAATGAAGCTTCAAAGCGTCTTGTTTAGATGAAATTTGAGGACAGTGAGCATTTTCCATGCATGTTCCTGACGCCCTCCACCTCAGTTGTGTCGTTTCTACTTGGCTACCAGATTCTCTCCTAACCTGTCCATTTTCAGATATGTTTCCTAGACATTCCTTAGTGTCTGGACTCAATTTTGGCTTCTTGTGGTGAGTGACATCCTTCACATGTGATCTCAACAATCAATGCAGTGTTCTTAGACTGTTTCATACATTAGTGAAGCAAGGCAAAAGGACATAGAAGCTAGGTAACCTCGGCTAAAGTCTAGGCTCTGTTTGCTAACTCTTTTGACCTAGCCTTGGATACTCACCTTTCTCAATTTTATTATCGGTAAGATGGAAATGTTTGTATCTTATAAATGTTTTTTTAGTAAAACTAGGCATGGAAAAAATGATAGGTTGTTTTTATTATTAATACAGATTACTTGGAATATTTTGGAAGTGACATCACATGGAAGGTACACAATAAAATAAAACTATTTTTCACTAGTATTAAACTTGGCTTCTCCTCTCCCAAAGTTATGTTATTGGATTTTAAAACCTAAATACATACTTTATATATGTGTACACTTAATATACTTAATATTATGGAATTCTTTGTATTGGATTTGGCTGACATTGATATCAGTGTGTCAACTGGCTTTCCTAGATTGGTATCTCCATTCTTGTGCTGTGCCTGAGTGAGTTCTACAGCTAGCATTATCCACTTTTTTCCACAGTGACTGGAATTTTAACCAATTTCCATTACCAGAGTTTGTTATATTCCTTGCTGACAATACAATACTATGCATTTGAGATTCCCACGATCTAACTGCTAAATGACAGAGTGGGGAGAAAGACAGTGACATTAGTTTGAAATGAGCTGTTCCCACTGTTTAACTCAGCTTCCTCCCCTCCCCCCCCCCGCCCTCGCCCCCGAGTTTACTCATGATAAAACCGTGAAGATGGCAAGGAATGGGTCTCGTTTGTATTGAGCCACAGATTTTGAGGTCCTGGAATGGATAAAATCCCCTTTTTGCCTCACAGAGTAGAGACAATCTCAAGGAGAAGAAATGGAGAAAGCCTGGCTCTGTAAGGCAGTTTAATCTAACAGCTATGACATGCAGCTCTCCCTGGGGCCTTCCGTGGAACTCAGCAGCGCCACTCATCGGAATCGCCAAGGTGTGAGACCTGTCTCCCAACAATGATGCTCTGATCCTCTCCAAATTCAGCACAGGATGATGGGGAAATAATAAACGGAGACTCTCAAAGACCCACTACAAGGAAACTCTCTAAGAAATCCTTCAATTGTTTTTTATGAAAATTTCAAAACAGTTTTTAGATGAATTTTCCAAACACCTTTTGCTAAGAGGGAGAGAAAGAGAGAGAACTATAAAGACTCACTGCTAATATCCCTTCACATGAGCTCAGCCTGTTTTGTTGTTGCTGCCAGCTGTCGCAGGAATTAGGGTCATATTTGGAAGGACAGCACATTCTGCTGGGAAGGTCGTGTAAGGGAGGGTGAAGACGAGGGTGTGGAGATGCCAGACAGAAGGGTGTGGCAGGAGACACACACACACAGAGGGATGCTGCTGCTGGCTTCTGTTACCAGAGTGTTGCTGCCTGAAACACAATCCGAAGGCTGGCCTCTCTGAGGACCTAGCCATGAACTTTCCTCGAACGTGTGTCCGCTCAGGAGCCCTACCCCTCTGGGGGCCCTGAGCTCTGAATTGAAATTAAACAAGAGAGCTCTGGTAATATGATGGAGTGCACCTTGCCATCTATAAATAAAAGGACATTTTATTTGTGAGTCTGTCTTAAAGTTTTAAGTAGAATGAGCTGTAGGACGTGGAAGGTTTTATACTCTCCAGTAGAGGCAGCCATATCCAGCAAATATATTTCTTTCATCTTAACCTAAGATCTTCTTTAAAGCAAATAACAAATGTCCAAAAACATCTGGCTTTTGTTTCCTTGATAAAATGCAGCAATAAATTAAATTCCTCAAACGCATAAACTTTTCCCTACAAATTAACACATGGACTAAGGCAATGGTCCTTCAAATGAGACTTCAATACATAAAATGAAGCTGACACTCAGAAGAACACACATAAATCATGACCTAGACATAGCAAGGAATGAATTTACGTCTCCAGATCCACTCACCTATCACAGAGGCCTTTAACTGTGGAAGCCTGGAGTCTGGAGGACTCCTTGGCAAAAGTGCTCTGTCATATTGTCTCTACTGTATTTTTTGCTAATGATACCTAATAAGTTGTGTGACCCTGGGATGCCATATACATCAGAGTGCCTGGGTTTGATATCTGAGTTCTCTGTGTGTTTTCAGCCCCTGATTCCAGGTTTTTGCTATTCTGACCCTAAGAGATGTTGGTGATGGTTGAAGTAATCAGGTTTCTGCCATGCATGTGAAATATCTGCAATGAATTCCTGGATCTTGATTTTGATTCTTCTCCTTTCCTCCACACAAAACTTTTATTGTAAGTTTCCTAATCTGAAAAAAATGAATGTCATTGTTGCCTTGTAGAATTATATTAAAAGGAATGCCAGGGAGCCATTCCTCTAAAAGATGGTTAACAACAGTGCCCTAGGGTACTGGTCTTGTGCAAGCCCTAAAGTCCTGCATCAGCTCTGCTGTAGAGACCCTCTTGGGGATCCCCATCAGGTGAAACTGTCTTGTCATAAGTTATGCTTTGGTTGTAAACTCTGCTTGCGTCACCCTATTCTGAGACCTGTGATTCTTCTTCCTTTTTCCACCTCCTCTTCTTCTTCTAGTTCTCCTCCTCCTTCTTCTCCTTCTTATTATTCTAGATTTGTTTTTTTTTTTCAATGGAAAGGCAGATTTACAGAGAGAAGGAGAGGCAGAGAGAAAGATCTTCCATGATTCATTCTCCAGGCAGCTGCAATGGCTGGAGTTGAACTGGTCTGAAGACAGGAGCCATAGTGTCCTCTGGATCTCCCACACTGTGCAGGGTCCCAAGGCTTTTGGGCCATCCCCTACTGCTTTCCCAGGCACAAGCAGGGAGCTGGAAGGGAAGTAGAGAATTTGAGCAGCTGTGTCACGAACTGGTGCCCATATGGAATGCCGGCTCCTGCAAGGTGAAGACTTTAGCCATTAAGCTACTGTCCCGGGGGCCCCTGTGATTCTTCTTAAGAATTGAATTTTAGTGATTATAGAAGTCGTTAACTCAAAGTAGCTTTCTTCCCCCTTCCCTCTGGAATTGAGAAGGGCTTCTTTAATCAATTCCAAACTTCAGAAAATGATCTGACAGTTAAGTTTTAGAGACCTCTGCTTTAGGGAGATGGCTGCCAGGATGCAGCAAGGGACCAGAAGCACGGGCCCTTGGAAGCCTTCATTTGCCTTGGCTAAGAAGGTTTCCAGACATCACCGATGGTGAATTATGATTGGTCATATGCACGTCACTTAATTGATAGGAACTGAATTTAAAACCCAGACTTTGAGGAAAGCCCAGCTCCTGTTACTTATGGCGCACACAGCAGCAGTAACAAAAGGTGATCATAGTGTAGGAGATAGAGAACAAAACCCAGAAAACAATATTCCTTAATGAGATTGTGTTGATAGAAATAAAAATAGGAAACGTCTCAAATTTTCCTTCTTCCTATCTAACAGCTAGACCAGCCTGTTGAAGGTCTAAGTATCAGCAAATTCCATCAGGGGAAATCAATGTTTTGAAGAAGTAGTCCATTGATCACTTCCTCTCACTTGACATGTCTAACTCCAGTAAATCAATACTTCTTAGCATAGCAATGGATTTGTTAAAAAAGAAAATGAAAAAAGAAAAAGAGAGCAGTAACCAAATTGGGAGTTGTTAGGCACACTGAGATCAAAGAATCCTGTAGACAAATTCCTTCTTTATGCCTTTCCCATCTGTGAGCATTTTTGATTAGAGATCAAGCGAGTACAGGTATATTGAGACACTTAATTCATGAAGATCAGGGCTCAAAATGATCTTTTTTTTTAAAAAAAAAAAACACTTTTTAGGGTATTTACTGGTCAGCAAATCTTTCTTAAACCACACACAGACAGACACAAATAATCCGAATTTCAAAATGGGCACAGATGATTAAAAATATTAACTATTTAAACATCAAACACCATATTCCCTTTAAGAAAGAAATGTTTAATTCCACTAGGCTCAGAAAACAGTGTCCTAACCTAACATATTTCTGTGACGTTAGTATGGTGCCAGCTCCCAGGTTTTATTTCTTGCAGTTTATTGAGTGCCACATTCCACATGAAGAAATAAGCCTTAAAAAGGCTTCTTCTCTCCCAAACTTCTTCATTTTGATTGTCACTTGGATCCACAACCATGCAATCAAAGATGGTTTCAGATGGCAGTTAAAAGGGACTGGGGTGGAAACAGAAATAAATGAATACTCTTATCTTCTATATATGCAGATAAAAGAGTAGAGAAAACAAGGAAAGACCAGTAATGGCTGAATATGAGAGAGGCATCCCTTGATCTTCTCCTGAGGCAATCTGAATCTCCCTTAAACAACTCCATATTCCCAGTCCTCCCCCAAGCACAGATACTCAGTCAGATTCAGTAGCCTTGGAGTCAACAGTGTGTTTTGCCTGGTGTACACAGAGTTTGGTATTATTGAACAATACTAGGTGTGATATCAAGTCATGGGAATGCTGAAGGAGTCAGGGAGCGCCATGGATTGCACTCATGTTATTAGGACTGCATTCCTTATTTAGGGCTCTGTTCTTAGGAGCAGACAGATTATGCAAAGAACATGCTTTTTCTCTGTACTGTTGGAGAACTGAAACTGAGGCTGGGCTAGGGAGACCCGGTGGGGAAAGGCCATTTGAATGCTTACTGCCGGATGGTGCTGGGCATTGTCAGCTTTTGTTTACTTCACTTACATGGGAAGATTGCAGCTGCTTCTTTCAGTAAAAAGGAATAGGAAAATGTAGCCAGTCACCTCACCCTCTACCGGATTCCCCAACATGTTTGTGGAGCCCAACAGCTGTCTGCAGATATTGTCACTCAGGACTGGAACAGTTCTACATAATCAAGAATGAGTGGTGGAGCTGGGATTGTTGGCTGGGTTGAGGAGGCAGGTGGGAACGAACAGCCTTCCTAAAGGCCTCACTGGATCTGTTCCTGTGGGGACCAAGTTAAAGAAGAACAAAGGTGTTTAAAGGAAGTGATGAAGGAAAGTTGCACACACACGACTTGGATTTCTCACTTACAGATCTGCAGAGCTGTGGAGCATGAATTTACTGATTGTTAGCAGGGATTTGAAAGGTCTTGGAGTTTTCACATTATTTTTAGGAGCAGAAGTTTTCTTTTGCCCTCAAATTTTAGGGGATATTGTATAATACATGAAAATAGCTGATAGGACAAGTGGGGCCATCGATGCAGAAGTGGGCTGTATAGAAAGGCACAGCAGATGAATTCAGTTCTGGGTAATATGAGTGTGGGGATTACGGCAATGCTGCGAATGGCCAAGAGTGTCTTCCCTTCTGGCATATGCATGTTGCTGCCTTTGCCATGCAGGGATGGTTCTATCCATTTACCCATTTCCAAAACATGCATTGAGCGCTTACCATGTACTAACTACCGTGTTAGGCATAAGCACGACAGACCAGATTCCTGCTTGCTTAATGTTTATATTCTAGGAATTATAATATGAGGAATGAAAGCTGACCAAAAAGGAAACAATTCAGAAATGATTGGTAGTGCAAGTACTGCTGTTGAAATGAAAAGCATTGTTGAGGAAAGTCAATAATTTTGAAAGGAAAAGCATATGAAGTTGACGGAAACTAGATAAATGTTTAGGGTAGTCTGTATTTACATCATACAAGTTAGTGAAAGGAATGTTACATAAAAATGTCTAATGTAGATTTAAAGTTGAGAGTAAGACTCCTGCTGAGAGATTCTCAGGTTCTTCAAGAGACGCTAAAAGTATTCTTTTGTTTTGAGATGTATTTATTTGAA